GAGAGAGAGAGAGAGAGAGAGAGAGAGAGAGAGAGAGAATATTCACTTACCTGGTTATAAGAGTTAGGAGTAAGGAACCAAACAAAAAAATAAATAACAGAAACAGAGTGAGGTAAAAATGTAGTCAAATTCAATGCATATTTGTTTTTAGATACCCAACTGAATATAAATAAACTGCTGTCTATTTGTACCTTAACTCCATGTCTGAAGTTTAAGTATGCAGTATGTCAGTGTGAGAAACAAGTGCGTATATGAACTCCAGATGAAATTGCTACTTCGTCTAATATACATATTGTCAAAAATATGGACAAGTAAGAGCTTGTATTTCTGGCTATTAACACTACTGTAGAGGAAGCTCCAGGATCATTTTATTAGAGTCTAGGACATTCAAGATTCTCAGCAGGTGTTTGGGGAATTGGAAGGTAAAAACAGAAAGAGAGAAACTGATGTCTTCTAGCAGAGTCTACATAATGTGGTATGTTCAGTATTGGAGGTCAGCCAGCAAACAGGGTTAAAGAGGATGAGCGCTCAGAAAAAGAGAAAAAAAATCAGGTTCAGGAAAGCATTCTCAGACTTTGGGTCAGCATCTGAAGAAGAGACAGAAGTAAGGAAAGAAAGTTGCTTTTGTAGTTAAAACTTAGAAAGCTCCAATATCTCCTGGCTCTGTGAGGGAAGCTTTTCTTCTTTGTTCTTTCTTTCTTTCTTTCTTTCTTTCTTTCTTTCTTTCTTTCTTTCTTTCTTCCTTTCTTTGTTTTCTTTCTTTCCTTCCTTCCTTCCTTCCTTCCTTCCTTCCTTCCTTCCTTCCTTCTTTCTTCCTTCCTTCCTTTCTTTGCTCCCTTTCTTTCTTTCTTTCTTTCTTTCTTTCTTTCTTTCTTTCTTTCTTTCTTTTTTCTTTCTTTCTTTCTTCCTTTTCATAATTTCTCCCATTTCTGTGTTCTCAAATAACCAAGGTTTTCGAGACTATAAAAATGTTTGATCTCATGATCTATTAAAGCCACAGCGAAAACATGAAGCCTGGCAAAGGGCAAGCCTTCAGTAAACAGTGGTGAGTTAAGTTATGGCTCTACGACACTGTGTGGTGGCAAGTTACCTCTTGCAATTTACAGTTTTCATAACTAAGATTTAATGATCTTAACAATAATATACTAAATAATGTTTGAGATAGACCCATTGTTTCAGGACATAATTGCTAATATATCATGGAATTATACTTCATGGAAACACTTTCTTTTTGTCTAGAGAAATATCTCTGGTATATTTTTGTTTGTTTGTTTGTTTGTTTGTATTATCAAAGAATACATTTTATGCCACTTATTCATCTGTGAATAAAAAAGACTATGGCACTCAATATAATGGTTTCCCTTGGCAGCTAACAGGAGTATAGCTGTAACAAAACCATTTTTATCCCCCTCTGTCTAAAGGGTATGTCTACTAGAAACAGGCTTTGGAAAGTAGTTCACAAGTCTCAAATTAAAAAGGAACACAGACATTCAACTAATTGAAATAATCTTAGCTTTTCTATTATTTATTTTGTAGCTTTAAAGTCTTTCTAAAAATGGTATTTCAATAAATTGGAAAGACTTGTGCTTTCTCTTTATTAATTCTAATAACTATAGAGATAACTTTTTTTTCTGTGAGGGAGACAACACTTGAGTTGACTTAGAACCAGGTAGAGCCAAAATATGTCTAATTTCATTACTTAGCTTTAAGTTGCAACATTAACATGCATAAAGCCAATCATTTTAATGCACTTGGAAGTAATTATTTCAAATAAATACATAAATGTAAAAGTATAATCTATGTAAATCTATGTAAATGGAGGGTTATAGTGAATTAGTATATAACATTAATGAGTAAATTGCTCAGGGTTTCATTAAATAAAAATGACTAAAGACTTGGGTTAGCAAGAAAAAGCTCTTTTGCTCTGTTTCAGTTGCTTTAGGTTGTTATTCTGGTCCAAGATGATCAATTTCTCGTTCATCATAATAATTAGGGATAGATTTACTGAGCATTAGTGTAATTTTCCATCATGCTAATAGTTCTGCAATTCTCTGCTCATTAATATAAATGAGGTAAATTAGATCTGTAACATATAAAGGCAGAAGCTGAGGGAACTTTCCTGGACCCTCCCGAAACTCCATTAATTTAATTGTAATAAGTTATTCCTAGATTCTTATTTTCACTCTCTTTATTTCCCATTGCTAATGGTTCTTTAGATTTGTTAATGAGTGTACTAACCTTTTAATTTAAGTGACAGATGTGGTGTAAATCATGTGTACTTATCTTGTTTCACTTCCTTTAACTCATTCTCAAACACTTATTACCTTTAACCCTTTGTCATATATTCAACACTATTCAGGCACCCATCCACTTGAAAATTGTATCTTTCAGTACAGCATCAAAAATTAATTCCTTGTCTAACAGTTTGCAGTCCAGAAGACATTATGCATCACACTAGTTTAATTAAAGATGTGAGGTATGCAGGCAATTTCAAACTAAACATTTTTTATGTTATCCTTAAGATTTTTGTTTATATCCTCCAGATGTAAACATAAATTCACTTTCCATGTTTTATAGATTTATCTTTTCAAAAAACGACTCTTCTGAAAACACTGCCTAAATTATGTCTCTCTTATATAGTATTTATCTGAAGTTTTTCATACCCCACATGAATCCTTAGTCAATACGGATTTTAATACTATCTATGTTTTCCCTATAAATAATATAAAAGCATGAACCAAAATTGTATACACATATTCTACCTACTTGTTTACCATCTTGAATTGTCCAGTTAATAGCTAAGTTTTAACTTTTCCCCACAGGTCACATTAAAAATATATTTTTATTAAATAATTTCTCAAATTCCTTCCATGTGAAGCATTTACAAAGTTTACGGTGATAGTTTTCTCTACCAGAGTCATTGAGAAGAAATGAACTCAATATTCCCAAGGGAAAAAATAATTTGGATTTTTTTTATTAGTATTGCCATCCATGTCAAAACTTACAGTGTAGTTTAATTATTTTCTAGAGTTTAATTAACATTGACTGATATGAAAGCTATAGGCTTTCCTATGTTTCATACTGTGTAGTATACCTCTGTTTCACATGTTCTCATGCATCACAGCATTTATTATCTATATTTTCTAGATTAGTAGATCTAGAAATGCACTGAGGTCTAGATAAACACTGCTCTGTCCTTCATTAGTTGTCATTTATCAATGTTTAGTAAGCCTCCATTTACCTCAACTTTGTCACCTTAAAATCAAGATGAACTTTTATGTCAGAAGAATGGTGAAACCTATCGAGAAAATTCATAAGGAGCAATATATTCCAATGTAGAGTTAGGTATTACCACTTTCAAAAGTGTGTGGGTTGGCAGACGATAGCAGCAAGGCCATCATCTTATGTGGCAAACAACAGCGGCCACAGTAATAGCATTCAAGAAAATACTCAGGGCTCCTCAAGCTGTCCCTATACCTTAAAAAGGAGCAGAAATGCAAATTTTCTCTATTTTTTCTACCTGCTAATTAACGGACATTTCCTACATTCCTACGTTCTATAAGTAGCTGCATCATGTGCCTACCTCTCATTCCTCCTCCATCTGTTTGTGAAGCATGGTATTTTTTTTCCTTTCCACCAGCATTTCTCAAATTGACACTGCTATCTCTTCCCCTTACTGCTTCTGTCTTAATGGTTTTAGGCTAGGGTGATCATTGGCTTCCTTTTTTGGTTATTTTTCTTGCTGGTGAAATCAAACATTTCAATGGAAATAAAAAAGAAAAAAGATTATTGTTTTATATTTAAAGGGATATAGTTTCTCACAGCAAAGAAGCCGTGGTGTCATTAGTATGGAAGCAGTGAGAGTTAACTTCTGATATCAGCTGGTTTTTTGTTTTTCCTTCTTTTATGTTGTCTCTGATCCTTGATTCTGAGGTTGTACAACCTTTGGAGGTTTGAATAAGAATGAACCCTTTAGCCTCATACATTTAAATGCTTAGTCTTCAGGGAATAGCACTTCTTGGGAAGGATTAGGAGGTGTGGCCTTGTAGGTTTTAGTTTGTCAGTCAAGTTAGACTTTGAGCATTCAATAGCCCAAGCCAGGCCCAGTTTTCTCTCTTCCTGATGCCTGTGGATCAGGATAATATCAAGTATTGCTCCAGTACCATGCCTGTGGGCATGCTCTCTGCCACAATAATGTGCTAATCTCTGAAACTGCAAGCAAGCTGCCAATACAGTGCTTTTTAAGAGTTGCCTTTGTAATGGTGTCTTCTCAGGATTTGAACAGTGACTAAGATACCATTGTTCAGGGTGAGCCTTCTCACCTTAGTAAACCTCTCTAAAAATGACCTCCCAGATGATTGCCCAAGGTAACCATTATACAGTTATAAATAAACTCAAGGTGACATTCTACCACAAACCCACTCTTTTTTTTCTGCTTCCCCCTTCTTCCCTCCATCTGCCTTAACCCCAAATAACCATACCATTTTTGGAATATAATAATCAAATAGACAAATAAAAAAGCTGTTGATTATGACTTCTATAAATCACACTTGCTAGACTCACATAATAATGCTATGGTATTTTATAAAGCAGAAATTCTTTCGAAACAGTGAAACATATGAATAAAGTATGAATAGAGAAATCTGAAATTGTGTTCCTTTAGAACAAACTTAAATCCTAAACACATAAGTTATGTATACAAATTTGGATACCATTTCTCCAACTATAAAAATATTCTTTGAAATCAGAGATTTTGGTGTATATGGTTTCTCCATAATCATTCTCAGTGCCTAGAAGAGTGTTTGCTTAGTAGGCTTGATGGGGTTGGGAACAGGCCACTACAAATTATGCCATTCAACATGCTTTTTTTTTTATCATGTGCTATTTTAAAGCAGAGGATAAACAGACACTCTCCCAACACCACAAGTAAGGCATCCTTGAGTGACAGGCTAGAACGTTTACAAAGATAAGCTGTTCTGAGTAATATCATCATTGTGACCAGTTGCACCAATTACTTACCCAATCTATTGTCAGTGACATTGCATGTGCACAGTTTACCATTCTTGGACCAACTCAGAATGCACCTGTTGAATCTCTGTGTCTTTGCTTTCCCATTCTTTATGAATGATCTTAACACAGAACCCACAGTTTAACTAATCTATATGTGTTACTTCTACTGCTCTTCTTAGATCAGATGAATTCACCCATCCAGTCAAAAGTCTCAAAAGGTAATTAAAAATTTTATCTTCAAAAAAATATGAGAAGATTATATACTGAAAGTCCACAGATCAAGTAAAATCAGACTCAACAGCTCCCTGATCTAAACAGCTGTTAATTTGATTATATATTTTTACTCTAATCAATAGATTTGAGAAGATGATGTCTGAGAAAGATGGCTACATTTATCAGAACAAAACTTCTAAAGCCAAATGAAATATTTTATTTTTAAATTAAAAAGAAATAAAAACTGTAGATTCCATTGCCAAGCAACTCAATTAAATGATGTAATTTTTGCTTAAATATAGCTTGTAAGCTATATTCATATTTAAGGTTTTCTCTCTACTTATTAATGCTAAGGCACATCAGCAGCATCATCCCCATGCGAGTTCCCTGGAAAGCTATATTCTCCATCACTCTATAAAGTCTGCTTTGCAGCAAATTTCATTCTTTAACCACCATCCCCATAGCTCTCATATTTATGATTCCTAATAGAAACACTTACTCCACTCACTCTACAGTAGAAACAGACTATGAGCTCAAAATTCATTATTTTATGTATACTAAACCTACCACTGTAATTTTCAATAATGTTGAATAGGTTTGCCTAGTAGCAATGTCATAACAATATGTCACAAGCCAAGTGACGTCTAGAGTTTGTGTTAGAGGCTGGAAAGATAGTAGAGAGGATAAGAGCAGGTACTGTTCTTGC